GGTTCCAATTAAGGTGTTAACAGATGTTGTGTGTTGTTACCTGTACAGAACATTTAAACATCTATTATAGAGTACAACTGAGGTTCCAATTAAGGTGTTAACAGATGTTGTGTGTTGTTACCTGTACAGAACATTTAAACATCTATTATAGAGTACAACTGATGTTCCAATTAAGGTGATAACAGATGTTGTGTGTTGTTACCTGTACTGAACATTTAAACATCTATTATAGAGTACAACTGAGGTTCCGATTAAGGTGTTAACAGATGTTGTGTGTTGTTACCTGTACTGAACATTTAAACATCTATTATAGACTACAACTGATGTTCCAATTAAGGTGTTAACAGATGTTGTGTGTTGTTACCTGTACTGAACATTTAAACATCTATTATAGAGGCTAGACACTTTCATAAGTTATACAGATTTATCAAAACAGACAAAAGAAACTTTTTAAAGAAGTCAAAAGTTTACGTAAGTAGGCTTCTATTATCTACCATAGTAGAACTTTATTATTGGTGGGTGGCTCAACGAGTTGTTTAGTGGAATAGCAATAAGTTTGCGGACTTACAAAGATAAGGTCCGGGGTTCGATTCCACGTGTTAGACGCAGGAGACTGCTTCTCTTGAGGTAAAAATTATCAGATCAGGACTACCCAGTAGTCTGTAAATCTGGTTCTTCAATAATCAGGACTACCCAGTAGTCTGTAAATCTGGTTCTTCAATAATCAGGACTACCCAGTAGTCTGTAAATCTGGTTCTTCAATAATCAGAATTACCCAGTAGTCTGTAAGTTTATTTATCCACTGATTAGGATTACCTAGTAATCTGTAAGCCTTCTTATCCACAGATTAGAATTACCTAGTCGTCTCTAAGCCTTCTTATCGACTGATTAGAATTACCCAGAAGTTTGTAATTTTTCTTATCTACTGATTAGGATTATACAGTAGTCTGTACATCTACTTATCCACTGATTAGACGTATTAAACTAAGAATCACATTAAAATATTTGAAACTAAACTATCTCTTCTGATCGCGTTTCTGACAATAGCAGTTTTAATATTGGATTAATTTTGATCGATATTATCTTCGTTGGTAGTTAGATATACTCTCGTTCATAGAAGTGTTTGAAAATCCTTGCTAATAGATAGACATTGTCTTGTGACAAATTTTATCCTCACGACACCCACTCATAGAGTTGAATCTCATTTTGTTTGTTCTATTTGTAGATTAAGTTTTTCAAAATACAAATACAGAGCCATCTCTGGGCTGTTTCTTGAACTATTACCCAATGTTAAATAATTTACTTTTATGGAAGATAACTACAAAAATTCAAATTAAGAATGTGAAAAGAATGAAATTTTTAATAACGCCATACGGTAAGACGGCCTTTTCAGTCGTGATAAATGTGTAAGGCAGCTTTCCTAAATATAAAAGAAGAAAGAAAGAATACGGAGTTACTTACCAAACCACTATTTAATAGTTATTTCTTTACTTTTAACTAGTTACAATATTCTTTGTTGCTAGAGAATTTGTATCTAGCAATGGACCGAGTTCGGTTTGTTACATAGGTAGTGGTGCTATCTGTTGGCTGCCATCATTAATTTAATATGAAGAATATTCCTTTATGTTTTATTTAAATTGTCATAATCTTCAACGGAGCAGACACTTTCGATTTTGTAATTATGAAGCACAAATATTCCTAATTAAATTAAGTAACAAAATGTACAACTCGCACCTCATTAGATACTATATAACTAGTGTAGCATTACCTGATTTCGAGGACAGCTCGTAGTAAACTCGTCTTTTCACAAACCAAATTGTGTAAATATAAAACGTTGTTTTTAATCATTTATTTATTATAATTCTTCTGCTGTATTTCAAAACTATCACTTAAATAATTGTTTTAAGCCTAATAATTAACCATTAGTATAAATGTCCGTTAGTTTGAGTTAAAACTTTAATTAATGCAAGCTGTATAACAGTTCGTTTCGCGGGTTCACATCACAAGTACCTTAGTTTCTGTTGGTTACTTTATTAACTATTATTATTGTTTTCTTTAAGCCTGAACATTAGTATGGCCCTTTTCGTATCTTATTATCGCTTATACACTTCCGGCTAGTTATTAGGACTCATTAATTCTTGCTGACCCTGCAAGTCTGAGGGCTTATAACTCTTACAATCGGATATCGATACCCGTACAAATAGCACGTTGTGTCACTTAACAACAAACAAGCCTAAAATTTATTCTTGCTGCCTCGTCTGTAAATTGACCACTTGTGTGAACAGCAGTTAAGGTCGACTTAGTTGTGTCAAACACAGATCACCTTTGATAAATTATTTTCGTTGCATCACACTTAACGTAGTTATTCTAAATCATATTCACTTAATTTATTACTTTTTATTTTAATAAACAAAAGTGTTTCCTGTAATATCCTTGCTGTTCGTGCCAACCGATTCTCTAGCTAAACGTGACGTAGTAATTTATCAAGTTAAACTGTCGGTATCGTTTCATTGGTCACTTAGTGTGGTTAGGGAGGATTGTGTTATTTTGTATATGTTTCGTTAGTTTTACTCTAGTCTTTCTACAATTAATTTTATAAACGTTATTGATTAAACATTTATTATCTTTAATTTTCGATCACATGGATTGTTTTACATTATTAACTTAGTATATGGACTTCAGACTAAATTAAATCTCATAAACGGCTGACATCATTGGATATTGTTTAAATTATGGTCGAAAATACCGATAAGAAAGAACAGTATATTAAATACTGGGCTAATTTTTAGTTCTAATCTCAGTACGTAGCTTGCTGTGATTGTAAGTTAAATAAAAATAAAAAGGTTATAGTTTATTAGAAATTAAACAAAATAACAATTTATTATGTCAGCAGTCATTTAACATATTTAATAGCTTCCAAGCCTTTAAAATATTACTTGCTCATTGAAATGAACATTTAATTTATTTTGTTTTATCCACAGCTATTGTGCTGCCACGTAGTGGCTTAGCGATAAATATTCGGACTTAATACGCTACAAACTGGTGGGCTCAGCTCAAATGGCTCATTGTGTAGCTAGCTCTCTGCTTAACTATAAACAATAACAAAAACAACCTACTGTGCTATATCTAAAACCAACCAGTTCTTTTTCAAGCAAAATCCTTAATACATATTTAATAAAAATTAAGTTTAAAAACAAAAATATTTTGTTTTGTTTTTAAAATATTAAGCGGAATTAAAAAGGCCTATGGCTTATGTTAATTTGCATTTATGTGAACAAGACGATAAATAACTAATGTTTCGATATATGTATATATATATATACGAAAAACACTCCCACTGTTGTACGAGTAGAAAAAACAACATGTTTTTCATTGAAAATGACAGGTAATTTATTGACTATTGATTGTATTTATATGAATATGTACATAAGGCAACATCTTCGCCCACAGTATAATAAAGACTAAAATATCCCTATTGAACATTTGATACCACATATATCTCTAACAGAGGGTTCCATCAAACTGTCCTGGATTGTTGAAAGGTACAAAAGAACTAACATCTGAACTGGTTTAACAAATACTCAACACAAGGATGGAGGACCTAGACTCAAGTTTGGTACTCAATTATAGGGCAAGGGTGGAGGACCTAGACTCAAGCTTGGTACTCAATTATAGGGCAAGGGTGGAGGACCTAGACTCAAGTAATTCAGTACCAAGCTTGAGTCTAGGTCCTCCACCCTTGCCCTATAATTCAGTACCAAGGCTTGGTACTAAATTATAGGGCAAGGATGTAGGACCTAGACTCAAGCTTGGTACTAAATTATAGGGCAAGAGTGGAGGACCTAGACTTGAGCTTGGTACTGAATTATAGGGCAAGAGTGGAGGACCTAGACTCAAGCTTGGTACTGAATTATAGGGCAAGGGCGGAGGACCGAGACTCAAGCTTGACCTAAGAAACACTAAATAAAATAAGTTTAAAATATTACTAAATAATTAACTCAGTTTTTGCATGCTTACTAGTTCTTGAATACAGACTGTCTAATCTGTTAAAAACTTTAAAATGGTGTAAATGACCAACTAAACAAGATTAACCCTTCACCCGTAATTAAAAATAGAACATAAGGATAGATTGGATGAAAAATTTGACACGTTTTAATAAACTAGACATGGTCTAGATTGTGGTATTACAAACTGTTTTGCATAGCAGTTGGCAAGGAAACATACTTCAAAAGAGTATAATGTGACAACACATCACACAGCAATATTATGACGTGTCTCCTGTCGAAACAAAGTAAACTTCATTATAGTTAGAACGTAAAGTATTTTCCAGTTCCTGGGCATGGGCACGATCCCTGGTTTCTCCTACTACCTTTACCTGAAAGAAATACACGAAAGCAATGAACAACTATTGTAATTAGTTCTCCATATTCCCTAACTGTTAATGATAAGTTAGTTTTTAACTTTTCCTTATTACTTTAGGAGGAATGCTGTTAATACCACAATTATATTTTTATGCAGGCTTCACTTTTAGTAGAAGCACCATTAACAAGAAAAATTGTACCTCTTGAAATGTCAGTGTCTTATTCAGTTGATCTGTTTCACTTCTTCATAAAAGGGTTATCGTTTTTCGAAGAAGGGTTTAGGCCTGCAACATTAACTGGAGTAAACTAAAAACCTTATCACAAGTTGTTTGTGCTTTTAATTCTTTTTAAAGAAATTACTTCTCTTTTGAAAAAAAAAGTTACATCTAAATCAATTGGTCGTTCTGATCTCTTGAAAACAGCAGCATCTTAATTAGCTAATGTGAGCACTATGGAACTTTAAATCAGGCTTATGACTCAACTAAATTAATGATGGTACTTGATCAGGGATGGAAATGTGGGGGTACATCTAGATCCTGAAGATCTACATTTTTATGTTCATATCCAAAGCCCCCCCCCCCCCCCCCACTTAACCCTAATTTTGGAGCATACCCCGAATGCAGAAAACCCGTTGAAATCCTCGTACTTGATATATAAAGATGTTTAATGACGAGAAGAAGTTTTTGTTTGACTTTTGAATTCCTTGGGACTAGTTCGGTACCTGGGAGCCTCTCTTCTTAACCTTTTATTTACTAGTACAATGCCATGCTATAAAACTGGGGAAATGTAATTTCACATTCAAAATGTTTCTACTGTGAATTCTCTTTGAAAACTTAAAATAAATGTCAAAAAACAGGTAAAACAATAATCATGTTTTATATAGTAGACAAGCTGAATGCCCATCATATGACCAGAAGTAATGATAACTTTATATTCTCAAAATTATATCTAAATAAATGTTTTAGGAACACGTTTTCTAATAATTAATTATAATCTAGTAACAACATATACGTATAGAGAATGTCACTATCCTAGAATGTTACTATTCTAGAATGTAACTATTCTAGAATGTTACTATTCTAGAATGTAACTATCCTAGAATGTGACTATCATAGAATGTAACTATCATAGAATGTGACTATCATAGAATGTGACTATCATGGAATGTAATAATCCTAGAATGTAA